GAACAGCTGGAAACCTAAGCAAGCTGTGGAGAAGCAAGCCTTGGTCTGCGTGATTGTCTGTCGGACAACTCGCGGCTAATCAGTGGTTTGCTGAACACAAAGGACAGGCTTAGCATTGGCTTTCCCAGGCTTCTGAGTTCATTGACCCCTGGATGAGATATATAACATTGCCATCGACCGCACTACAACTTCTTAGTCATGTAAATGAAGCAAAGTCATGAAATATCAACATTTATGAATCACCAGTCACTGTTGTATTGTGGAATCATTAAGATACAGAAGTGGCAAAGGAGGTGTGTTCTGCACATGCCCATGACCTTTATTTCTGAGACTCAAATTTCCCTATTATTATTATTATTGGAGCATTATGATGATTATGATTTAACCACTTTCACCCCGAGGTCCCAGTGTGGGTTACAACAATTAAAACCCAGTGATAAAACAGTTTTGAATAGGTTACAACCACAGAAACAGGGTGGGGCCTAAGAAACACAGTTCATACACTTGTTTTCCATCCTCAGGGGTGAGTGAGTAAATATCGACCACTTTAGGGAAACCACTGTTTAGTGTGAACCAGATGAATGAATAAAAACATTCTTGTGGGTTCTATGTTCCCTTTTTTGAGTTTGTGGCAAAGTCCTGTGATGGGAACCACTTGGGCAATTATTTTGTTTTGTATCTTCTCCCCCTGCCTCCTGAAAGCATTGAAGGAGAATACGTCCCGGTGACCGGGGATGAAGTCACCTACAAAGTGTGCAGCATCCCTCCGAAGAATGAGAAGCTCCAGGCCGTGGAGGTGGTCATCACTCACCTCGCTCCGGGGATAAAGCACGAGACGTGGTCAGGAAACGTGATCAACTCCTAGGCCGCCCTGACGCCAAAGCCGCCCCGATGGAGGAAATGCTGGACTTTCGGTATTGTTCAACAACTGATACTGACTTGAGACTTGACAGATGAGTTTTCTGCGTATTGAGTGAGGTGGAAACACCATTGTAATGGGGGTCCAAAGGTGGCCAGAGTAACGCCCCCGCTTTTATAAAAAAAAAATTAAAAAAACGCAAACGGCACAACACTTAAAGTTGACCAAGAAGATGGGATTTAGTTATGGCTTTGCTTTTTTTTTTTTACCAGCACGTGTAGATACCCAAAGGCCTTAGAAAGACTTAACCAAAATATAACAAAATGGCGCAGGTGCCATCTCCAGATGATGGGGAGCATGACTTGGAGCCTGTAAATTATCTGTTTTGGTGGGGACTCTGCATGGCAAGGGATACCAGCATTGCCTGGGTAGATCACCCCATGAAGAATTTTTTGCTTGGCACCACGGGGCTTCACCATTCTAATGAGCAACAGCACTGTGAAATTTGCCTGTCATTGTAGAAGTCATCTGCTGGTGAGACCCACTTTCCTAGAAACATAGGAATTCTCCTGGTCTGCCCTCTGGGTTTCTAGGTCCAAGGAAGCCCCCTCAATGGAGTACCTGGGGGAAGCCCTAGCTGGAAACACCTTTCCCTTCTTTTGATTTTGTGCTGGCAGAAAAGCACAGCCCGCCTCAACATTTCATATATAAACATCTGAGACGCGAGAGTAGTGTCTGCCGTGGTTAGCTTGTAATTTGGGTTGATGAAAACTTTCAGGGTTATTTCTTTTTAAAAAACCAGCTCTTGATTTTTATGTCCTCCTTGGCCCCGTTTGCACAACTCACACCAAACCACGGTTTGCTTAACAAACTACAGATTTGTCCCATGGACGATAAAACAAACCCATTGCTTGTTTCTCTAAAATGTGGTTTGTTTTCCAGCTGGTCTTTTCTGGTAGCTTGGCAAGTGTTTGTGGTGGGTTGACTAACCAAACCTTGCTTTGGGGACGGTGCTGGCTTTCTTTGTGACACCAAGCCACAGTTAAAACAAACCAAGGGTTGTGAGTCAGTGACAAACCATGGCTTCAGCTTGTGGTTTTTGGCAGTAAAGAAGCCATAGGCAATCCACTGAACAGGATCCAGATGATCAGGTAAACAACAGTTTTAGTAAACCATGGCTTAGTAGGAGGAAAACAAGCCACTGTATGTCACGTGAACTGGTTTGATGTTTGAACCCTTCTGGTGCATTTGTTCAGCTGGCAAAGTATATTTTTAGTTAGTGATGTGTGTGTGTTTAATGCACAGCTAGCTAATTCCTGCCTCCAACAAGATTGTAGCTAAACCATATTTCAACCATATTTTATTTCAATGCCATCTAGTTGTTTTTTTCCTAGTAGAAAATGTTCTGAACAGTACATTTGTGTGTTGTGTTCCCTTCTCAAACTCCCTAACAGCTGGAAATCTTTAGGGAAAATAAATAAAAAGGTTGGAGTGAATCTCCTCTTCTGGAATTGTGTGAAAGGCATCTGTAATCATTAGATTCGTTCTGGCCTCTAGTCCAGTATTCTAGCCACTACAACACACTGGCTCTCAAGCAGGGACTGTCCAGAGACCAGAATTGCTCAATCTCCTTTTCTTATTATCTGCTAACACCAGAGGGACACGAGACTGCCAAGCCAGCCAGACATGAGAGAGGAAATTAAACACTCCTCATTTGCTGCAGCCCCAGACATTGAGATACTGCAGGAGTTGTTATCGTTGTGACTGTTTTTCGTTTTTCTTGCTATGCTAGATATAGAACTGGCCTCTTATGTTTTCAACCGGATCAGGTAAACAGATCTGCTTGTGACAAGGCCACGCCGTCTGCAACTTTAGCTGTTTCAATAGAACCTCTGTCCCACTGATCTTGACGTCGCGCTCCTATGAATCATTTACATTGCGTTTTAAATGTCTGGCAAGTTATTTTACATTACTGCGGCCTGCAGGCTCCTAACGTGCGTTACTTGAGCGAGTCTGGGCTGAGGAGGAGGAGGAAAAGTGGCTTGACCCAGACTGAGTTTGTGCAAGATGAAATTTAAATTGCCGCTTTCGTAATTTCCACTTCACAGCACCAAAGCTTCCTTCCAAGTAAGGCAGCAAACCCCATGCACATCAGCTTCATGGGTAAAGAGCTAAAGGATCTGGCTAAAGATGTGCTTAGGATCACAGTACCATCTCAGCTGTAACCTGACTTTAGCATCTTTTACATCAGGGGTTCCCAGTTGTGGTCCATGAGCTTCATTCAGGTAGTCTTGTATGTCTGTAGGCTCATGGTTGAAGATGGGAGGTGGCACGTTCACTGCGTTAAATAATACATATTGATTTTAATTGTTTTATTTGCTTCCTAGATTGTATTTTATTGTCTTACAGTTTGGATGCCACATCATTCAAACTGTAATACAATAAAATACAATATCTAAGGAATAAAAAAGCAATAAAAATATAGTTAAAAACCATGCAGCACAGTGCAAATTGCAATTGCTGCAACAGACAGGAAAGTAATTAGGTGGTCAACTAAGATCCTAATGTTTAGTTGGAATCTCCTTTCTTATAGTTTGAATCCCCACCCTCTGGAGAAAACAAGCTTGTTCCATCTTCCATATGACAGCCCTTCAGATATTTGAAGATGGCTAATATACCACCTCTCAGTCTTCTCTTCTGGAGGCTAAACATACCCAACTCGCACAATTGCTTTTATTACCGCTTGGTTTCCTGACCCTTGAGCACCTCAGTTGCCCTCCTCTGCACACCTTCCAGCTTGTCAATGTCCTCCTTAACCTGTGGCACCCAAAACTGTGGACATGGGACCCCAGGTGGCAGAATAGAGTGGTACTATTATTTCCCTTGATCTGGACACTATACGTCTGTTGATGCAGCCTAGAATAGCGTTAATCTCCCCCTCCCCCTGCTGCATCACACGACTGTTCTGAAGAAATTGTCTCGGGTGTGAGTAAGCTCACTGATTTGCAACGTCTCCTCTAAGTGGTGTTTAAAAGTGATAGCAAAGACCAGTTGGTGGATGATTTCCCCTTCTGCATTCTATTTTACACCAATGCTTGACTCCTGCTCAACTGGATATGCATTCCATTGAAATAGCTGGATTTTTTTAAAAGAAACCATTTGTGTAAGTTACAGATGGGTAGCCGTGTTGGTCTGCCATAGTCAAAACAAAAAAAATTCCTTCCAGTAGCACCTTAAAGACCAACTAAGTTAGTTCTTGGTATGAGCTTTCGTGTGCATGCACACTTCTTCAGATACACAGTGTATCCGAAGAAGTGTGCATGCACACAAAAGCTCATTCCAAGAACTAACTTAGTTGGTCTTTAAGGTGCTACTGGAAGGAATTTTTTCATTTGTGTAAGTTCAGTGCCCCCCTCTTCCTTCTGCTCCTGGAATTTCCATAAAAGGGAATTGCAGTGCATTTTTAAACTTTGTTACAGAGACTATGCTGGCTTGAATTTGGACATTTCAGCTATTCATTTCCTGCTCTGGCACTAATATGATTGAATCTGGCCATGGTTTTTTGTTTTTTTGCACTAAACCGACTGAAAATCTGTGGCAAGGGTGGTGGTGTTTTTTTTTTTGTTTTTAGAAAAACGAGTTCTGTAATTGGGATAAATTATGCAAATACATTTAATTTGCATAACTGCTTGTGGTTGTGAGAAGTCAGCGATGCTGACCATACTGAGCTGGATGTAATGATGGCTCAATATAAAAGACAGTTGTACCTTGGAAGTCGAACGGAATCCATTCCGGAAGTCCATTTGACTTCCAAAATGTTCTGAAACCGAAGCACGGCTTCTGATTGGCTGCAGGAAGCTCCTGCAGCCAATCGGAAGCCCCGTCAGATGTTCGGCTTCCCAAAAAACATCCGAAAACCAGAACAGTTACTTCTGGGTTTGGATTGTTCAGGAGCTGAAACATACGAGACTAAGGCGTTCGACAACCAAGGTATGACTGTACTTCTCAAGAAAAGGTTCGAAGATCCTCAGCCAGGCAAATCCAGTGTGCTGATGACAGAAAGGCAATTGGGTGTTATTGATATATATGAGAGGGTTTTCTTTCTGGGAGTGAGGGAGATATCTGGAGAAACAAAACGTTATTCCCTGTTCATAAGAATTTTAATATGGCAGTCCAACTTGAAGTATGAGCTTTTAACAGAAATTGCATGGCAGGATTAGCAACTGCACCATATTCCAAAAAGCCAGGTGTGAGGTATTAGTGGGAATCTCCCATCCCTTTGCATTCCAGTACATTAAATTCCAAACATACCCTACTGAGACAACAAATTCTGAAACAAACCAGAGAACCCTTGAAACAGCGGCAAACAGTGGGTGGTGGAAGAAGGATGGGCTCCTGCGCCAGAATTCTACCTCTACCCTAAAACCACCCTCCAACTGCCTGTTTCAATAAGTCACAAGCAAAGCCTTTCTGGACGTTGTGATCTACCTGCAAGGCTTCCACCATGAGGCCTGTTTTTCAGGGCTACTCAGCAATCAGAAAAATGAAAGTGGGGACAGAACAGTGTTGGCAGAAGAAGCCATCCACACATGTTGCTTGGAAGAGATCCCGGTGTGTGTCGAGGAATTTGGTCTGGAAGGCGGGGGGGAATCGCCTTTTGACATTTCTGTTATGGTAGAACTTTTCAATCTCTAGGAAATCAGCCTGAAAGGCAAGCTGTGATCATGCAAAACAAAAACTGGGCACAATATGAAAGGCAATCATTCATTTAACAGGTCTGACCATTTCTCCTATTTTTAAAATAGCTGCCGTGGAGGGAGGCAGCTAACTTCTATTTGCCTCATAATTGCCGCTTTCTGGACAAACAGCAGCTTCGGGGGGAGGAGGGAACAGAAGAGTTAACCCCCCCCAAAAAAAACCTCCTGCACACCACAGTCTTGATCCTGATCTTCACCCCAAGGCAGTTATTCTGCAAATTTTAGTCCTGAAGTTAACCTGCTCCCTTTTCGTACAAAATAAGCGCATCTAGTTGAAGAATAACTCTTCACATATCTGTTTTGTCTGCTCGGGCGACGTGACGCTGTGGCCGATGGTTCTGGAGTCCGTGTAAATTTCATAGTCGTTCCCACCCTGCGAATAAGACACACACACACAAAAAATCACACTTTGGAGTTTTCAGTCTCACTGGAGAGCTACCCCACACCCAGAACTTCTTAGAGGTTGCTAAAGAACATGCTGTGGAGCCTCAGGGGAGTGTAACTGTGGCGCTATAGCAGCTTTCACCAACTACTAGGTGCTCTCCAGATATTTTTGACTGCAGCTCCTATCAGTCCCAGCCAGCACGGCCAATTTGGACTACAACTCCCATCAGCCCCAGCCAACACAGCTGTATTATTTAATTTCTCTGGGGCTACGAAGGAGAGACTATTTTGGGAAGGAAAAGGTGAAGCGTAGGGGAGAAACCCTGCTGTTTCTTGCCTTCTGCATAGTGCAGTGGGGATGAGGACTTCAAAGATAGGGAACTTTGTGCTGCTCTATGTACTGCTGGCCAGAGGGGGCAGTTCCCCTGAAAATTGGGTCTAGGTCAAATTGTTTAAAGGGGGTGGGAGGAGAAAAGGGGCCATTTTAATGGGTAACTGCCTTGTTGCAATAATGAGTGCGATGTGACTCACTGTGATTTGGTATGTGCTAAATTTGCAAAACAGTCATACCTTGGAAGCCAAATGGAATTGCTCCGGAAGTCTGTTTGACTTCCAAAATGTTTGACAACTAAGTCGTGTCTTCCGATTGGCTGCAGGAGCTTCCTGCACACAATTGGAAGCCGTGGAAGTCCCGTTGGACGTTCGGCTTCCAAAGAACGTTCGCAAACCAGAATACTCACTTCCGGCTTTGTGGTGTTCGGAAGCCAAAACATTCGACTTGTGAGGCATTCGGCTTGCAAGGTACGACTGTAGTTATCTATCTGGGATGGAAAACCTGTGGCCCTCCAGATTTTTGCTGGACTACGTCTCATCGTCCCTGACCATTGGCCAGGGTGGCTGGGAGTTAGAGATCAGCAATTTCTGGAGGGCCATAGACACTCCTCCTTCCTGACCTATATATCAATTTCATGCGGGTAGCACATGAATTTCTATTGCAATTCCACAAGGAATCCTTATCCTGAAAATGTATTTGAAACTTCTTGGCACATTCCAGTCTAGCACTTACTGGCATTGTCTTGTCTCCAAAGAAATAAATTGTTTTGAAGCCATCTTGGGAAACAATTCCTAAACAGTATCGCTTATCCCAACCATCTGGAAACACATCAAAACTGATCTGGCCCCCTGGTTGGAGAGAGGTTACAAAAAGTTAGAACAGCAGCAGCACGTTTTGTACAGTGTAAAGAAAAAAATGACCTAGAAGAAGGTTTACTGAGCAGGAAGGACCTTGGAAGATGCTATCGCCATCGGCATAAAGTTAAATGGATTTATGGTAAAAGGGAGGACAGAAGCTTCATGCTTAAATAGAAAAAAAACACAGGGTGTTGGAATATATCAAGGAACCTGAAATTAACTCTTGTCCCAGTAACATGCCGAAAATATATTTTGCCTGTGCTCCTGGATTGACTAATATGTCAATAGTAATTCAGGTGTTTCTCTAGGCTTGTTCACAAATTACACTGAACACAGGTCTAAGCATTTGTGTGAAAGAGTGTACACTTGTTGAGAGTAGTACAACTCAACTCTTGCAAGCACACAGGCTGTACCCTTGTTGAATGTTTCATGCAAATAGCTGTAGAAGTACACAGGTACACAGACTCTATGCTTGCTGAATGTAATGTGTGGACACCCTTATCCCAAAGCCTATGTTTTATTTTTATTTCCAGTGCCTCTGAAAACCTACTGGCAAATGTTTCTCCCTTTCCCTTTCCCAGTCGTGTCATAAATCAAGACGAGGGCAACACCTGAGTAGCCAGACTCATCCTTGTGCTTTGGCACAAACAAAAATGATTTAGGGGAGTGACATTTCATGTTTAAATACCTATGGAGAATGTGAGGCCTTTTCCTGCAAAGTCTCGTCGTAAATCGGCGACAAATTTATCTCTTATATGCTCCCTCTGTTCAGAAAAACAAAACGGGGAAGAGCGTTGATGAGAACGTGGATTCTGCTACACCAATGATTTTCAAAGCTTTCTAGCATTGGGGGGCCTGAGTCTGCCACAGAGACCCTGAGTATCTGCCAGAAGATCATACAAACATGAGAAGAGCCCTTGCCAATGGTCAATGACCCCTCCAGCCCACATCCTATTCTCACAGTGGTCAGTCAGGGAAGCCTGTAAGCAGGACCTGACTTCAACGGCACTCTTCTTGTGATTCAGAGCAATTGGTATTTAGAGGCATACAGTTTGCGACACCACAGGCAGAACATAGCTGCTGTGGAAAGCGACAGAGTTGTGCAAGATTCTGAAATGCTTTCCAGGGTACACACTCTAGTTCATGCAGACATGCTAAGACTTGCCATTGCCCTCTGTGCAAACTGAGTGTGCACACTCCAGAAGCTTGCTCCTCCGTTGCTGCATGTTTGTGGGATTTTTGTCAGCTCTTCTGGATCTTCTCATCAAGAAACCCCCCGAAAACACAAATGGAAAACTACAGTACTGTATCCCACCCAGGAATGATGACATTAGAAGTCAAGGATGTGGTAAAACTGGCTTCATGCATCCACTTACGCCACAACGTATTTGATTCATCTTTAAAATGCAACAAGACTAACACAGCAAACCTCTGGAAGATAAAAGCTGAATGTCTTTACGGTTGTTCAAGGTTCACAGCTCAGTGACAGAACACCTGCTTTGCATGTGGAAGGTCCCAGTTTCTCAATCCCCAGCACCTCCAGGCAGGGTTGAGAGACATCCCTGCCCAGAGAACCACTGCCGGTCAGTATGGACAATGCTGAGCTGCATGGACCAATGCTCTGACTCAATGTAAGGCAGTTGCCTATGCTCCCATGTCGTGCCATGCATTTATAGCATTAATTCTCAACCACTTCAGAGTCGTAACTGGGCGGTCACAATGCTTTTTCACTTCTGTGTCAGAATCTTGGAGTAGATCTACACTAAGATGATGCCTTCCAGATGTTGCTGGACTACAAATCCCATCATCCCTGACCACGATGGCTTTGATGATGCAGGATTTGGAATTCAACAACATCTGGAGGGTGTCGCATTGGCCAACCCTCATTCCTACAGTCTCTCATGGGTGGTGCTGTGGTAAACCACTGAGCCTCTTGGGCTTGCTGATCGGAAGGTTGGCGGTTCGATTCGCCGCGACGGGGTGAGCTCCCGTTGCTCTGTCCCAGCTCCTGCCAACCTAGCAGTTCGAAAGCATGCCAGTGCAAGTAGATAAATAGGTACTGCTGTGGCGGGAAGGTAAAAGGCGTTTCCGTGTGCTCTGGCACTCGTCATGGTCCTCCGTGAGCCAGTAGCGGTTTAGTCATGCTGGCCACATGACCCGGAATGTTGTCCGTGGACAAACAGTGGCACCGCAACCCCATAGTCACCTTTGACTGGACTTAACCGTCCAGGGGTCCTTACCTTTACCTTACAGTCTCTACTTGGCGATGCCAGGGATTTAATAAGGAACCTTCTGCATGCAGAGCAGATGCTCTCCCCCTGAGCTGCAGCCTTTCCCCATGCAGATGTAAGCCTGCGGCCACAGAACCAGAGTACACAAAGGACCTGGCTGTGTGCCACTGACGATGGTCAAGGGGACGTGAAGTTTCAACATAAAGGGGACTTGCTAACAAAACGTTACGATGGCATGGGAAAAAAGTGCACTTGCCTTATCAAGTTCATAGAATTCAATCCGCTCCTTCTGGCTGCAGTTTCTGCCCACGGGAGAGATGTTCAGCATCCCATTTCGGAATTCAATGAAAGTGCCCCTAGGAAGAGACACAGTGAGATGTTACTGCCTTATTTAGGCTAGTAAACAAAGCTCTTTGGACCAGCCTCTAGGAGGGAGGTCAGTTACGGGGTATCACAGCAGTATTTTTTAGGACGCAAGCCCACCCGTTGTAGTGAAGGAGGAAGATACATGGGAGAGAAACAGAAAATGCATTTTCAGAGGTCAATGACATGTCAAAAATGGGGAAGAGAGTACAGTCGTACTTTGGTTTTCGAACAGCTTAGTTCTCAAATGTTTTAGCTCCCAAACAGTGACTGTTCTGGTTTGCGAAATATTTTTGGAAGCCGAATGTCTGACAGGCTTCCGATTGGCTGCAGGAGCTTCTGTTCAACTTCCAAGGTACGACTGTAGTTTAATATGGCTACTATTTGAAAAACAAAACTTGAAAGTTTCTTCAGCTGGTTTTGGAGAGTTACAAAGTCTTTCTGTATTACATTTGCTCAACAGCTTTACTGAGTTCAATGGACTTACTCCCAGGTAAGGGAGGAGTGGATTGTAACCTGAAGCAGAAGTCTGATGTGTGACTAAGGCCTGGTAATACTTATATGGTGGCTCAAAACTGTCCATATAAACAGCCTTGGCATTTTTTTTAATAAGACGATTCCTTGACACCTTAATGGTTTGTTTGACCACTGATAGTCAATGTTGTTCCTTTAATGAGCTTTTTGTGGTAACCCTCCGATTAAAAACTTAAAAGGGTTGTAGGCATCTAAATTCTGCTCAGAGTATGTTAAATGTGTCAATTACTTTCAGTTGGCCTATAACAAGTATGACTAAGGTTGGATAATAGATGGCAATTCTGCCACCTCTACCTTGTGGGGAGGTGTCTAATGGGCCTCGATCTGACTCAGGCCACGGAAGGAAGCTGGAACCACCCACCTCTTCCTCGGCAGTTTAAGTTTTGCAATGTAACTCAGGCAATAGTTGATCAAGTCTTGAAGAAGCTCTTCGCCCATTTGGCCTTGAATGCTCTACGTGGAAAGCAGAACAGAAAGCGATTAGGTATGTAGACCAGAAAAGGGTTTTCCAAAGGGGAGTCTGTCTCCACAAAGAAGTATACAAAAGAATAAGAAGATGGGCTTCAGTTCCACAATTACCGGGGGGCGGGGCTTGGCTCAGTGGCAGAGCAGCTGTTGGCATGCAGAAGGCCCTGGAAGCCTCCAGGCAGGGCTTGGACTCCGTAAGACTCCTGCCTGACCAGTCAGAATAGACCAGAGTTTCCCAAACTTGGGTCTCCAGCTGTTGTTGGACTTCAACTCCCATCACACCTAGCTACCAGGACCAGTGGTCAGGGATGATGGGAGTTGTAGTCCCAAGTCTTGGAAAACCTGGCATAGACAATACTGAGCCAGATGGACCAAATCAGTAGAAGGCAGCTTCCTATGTTCCTAAAGGTGCTATTTCAGGAGTCTCTGCATTTGTTCCAAGCACCACTCTTGATGGCCCACACAGTTGGTCCTCAGGGCTGCTTTCTGGAGCGGTAGAATTCCCCACAAGGTGATCTTAACATACCATTTTCACGTGGCAACGCAAAGGCAGCCCTGCTGGATGGCACTGAGAGTCCACAAGTCCTGCTCCAATGCAACTCCTCCAGTAATTGCCATTTGTTGTTATAATGTCTCTGAGCATGAACAAGGAGCTATCAATCCCTCTACTACTAAGCTTTGGTGTGTGCCAAAGGATTGTACTCATAACAGGGCCAATGAAAAATAAGACAGCAGTGTCAGTGCACTTGGGAAAACCATTATTTTGCAAGAAGCTGGAGCACCTCCCAGCCCCCATTTTTGAGTGAAGGGAGGGAGGGAATTATCTACCTTCTTAGCTAATCACAAGTCGCAAACTCACCTGTTTACTCAAGAGGTTCCCATCTTTGTATGCCACGAGACCGTTTTCCGGGAAGACGTAGTCAAATTTTTCAATCACTAAGAAGAACAAATGTTAAAGAACAGCATCATCAGAGACATTTTAGGCATCTCTTGTAAAAATACCCCCCCCCCCAATATTGGGGGTAGTTTGGCCTCAATTTAGTCATAATTGTAGCACCTGCACTTTGGAACTCCCTGCTCATTGATGTCAGGCAAGTGCCTTTGCTGTATTATTTTTGGTACCTGCTCTATATGACAGCAAATACTGAACAGTGATTCCAATGTAATGCACAAACATGGGAGTGTGTGTAATGTAATTAGGACACAACGATGCAGAGATGGCTTGTGGGGTCTGTCATTCTTGTGGGTGCAACAAGTCCCAGATTTCTTTCTCTCATATCCCCCCAAACCCCTTGTATCTTCTTGGATACAAGAATGAAATCTTAACACCTGCAACAACATGAATTTAACAGCCCTTCCCTCTTGGGTAAGCAGCAACCAACTCACAGGTTTGGGGAAGGACCATGGGTTAGTGATAGAGCATCTGCTTTGTATGCAGAAGGACCCGGGACTCTCCAGGGAAGGGGCCCCTGCCTGAAACTCTGGAGAGGCACTGCCGGTCAGTGTGGACAATACTGAGCTGGATGGGCTAGTGGTCAGACTTGGAATAAGCCAGTTTCTTATGCTACCAACAGTGTTCACGCCATCCAAACATGGAATTGCTATTAAGCTACCATGCTAGCAACTTGCAGGCAGATCTTATGCTCCGTGATTTTGTCTAAAGCCAAGCTTTCATTCACAAGGATACCCAGCCTGAACCCCTTTCAGCCTAACTAAGAACAGTTTACGCGCGGCTGAAAATGGAGAGCACTGCCAGATGGCAAGTCCTTGGCCATGCTTGGTTTATGAGCACAAATAATATGTGAGGAAAGTTGCTTCAGAGTAAATTAGTTTGATCAGGCAGGGTGCCAAGTGAAGAGGAAAGCCGTGTCGCTTATAACCACCAGCACTTTCTCATTCAACCAGGAGTGGGGAACCTCAGACTCTCTATGTGGCCCTCGGACTCTTTCCCCAGTTCAGGTACTTTTGCCTAGCTAGAATATGTCCTTGAAAACTGTGGTCTCAATTGCCTGGATGAAGAAGGGTGTGTGTCTGTGCAGAAATATGAACTGTTGTATGGTGGGACTGTTGGCTACTGTTCAAAGGTCAAAGTCATGTTGTTCCACCCACCTTTTGTCTCTAGCCCTGCCTTCCACTGAAATGCGGCCCCTGGAAAGTTGTCCACGAGGGAATGCGGCCCTTAGGCTGATAATAAGTCCCCTGTTCTGTACTCAAGCAATTTCTTTCTCAATTTCCTTGTGCTCTATTCATACCATCGTCTCCCAGTTGCTCTTGAATCTTTTCGAAGTCTGAGCCGCCCACAACTCCGACCTTCACCTTCTTCCGCAAGGCCTGCAGAAAATCCGCCATATCTGGGGTGACTTTCTAGTTCCACAGAGAAGAGACGGATCAACGTTTTATTTGTTGTTGTGATTAATTATGAATTCATAAGCTGCTTAATAAGCTCCCAAATTAACAAGCTGCATCCTGGAAACCAGAAGCTGAATATGTTGAACTTCTAACAAGGAACAGTAGATAATTACAATGAATGAGGTTGCTGCTGCAGCAGAAATTTGCCTTCTAATTTGGATCCTTTTACTATATAATTGTATTTTAATATTAATACACCAATGGCGAAAGCATAATTCCTAAGAGCAAAAAGCAAGTTTTGCGTTTTCATTTTTCATTGTTACGTATTTTAGCTATGAAAAGCCCCGCACTTCACCTCCCACCTTCCCTCGAGCTGTTCCTAAACGGAGGGCTTAAAAGCACTTTGCACATGCCCAGAGGCATGCTCAAGAGTGGAGTCCCCAGGCTCCCACCTGGCGAGGCGCGGTCAGGGTGCCGTCCACGTCGAAGAGGCAAAGCGTCCGCCCGCGGCCCACCTCCTCCATGGCCACTCGGGAGTGTCACCCGCCGCCGCTGCCTGCCCGAGCGATGAGGTGGCCGGCTGAGAGGCGCTTTGCTTCCTCCTGGGTTCGCAGTTAGGAAGACTACAACTCCCAGCATGCCGCGCAGAGGGCGGGTTGACGTCTACGCATGCGCTTCCCCGGCATGCCCTGCGGAAGACTGAAAAAGGAGCCTAGAGTAGAGTACAGTACAGTAGCCAATAAACACTTTCGGTTACTATTCGACTGTTACAATATGCGGGGCAAAATCCTCACTTCCACACTGGGAAATCTATCTATCTATCTATCTATCTATCTATCTATCTATCTATCTATCTATCTATCTATCTATCTATCATCTATCTATCTATCTTCTATATGATATTATACGTCATAAATAATAACATTTATAATAACATAATTATACATGCATATATTCCAGGGGGGAAATTGTATTATAATTTTTCTAACAGCATTCTGAACAATATATAAGATTGGAGGTGGGAATGGGATAATATATAATAGATTCTAAAATATGCGAGGAGCAAGTGAGAGAACACAACAGTCACAGCCACCCAGGGTCTAAACTAGGAACCAGGAAGTTCCACGTGTCTACAGTGCCCTGTGTTACTCTACCTCTCCACAGGGCGAGGAGTCAGGCACTACAATTCCCGGCATGCCACGCAGCAGCTGACATAGCCCACGTGCATTTTCCCCAGCTGGCAACGCGCCGCCCAAGCGGTCTCCCCATCTGAAGGCGCGTCAAAGGGGTTCGTGGTGTAAGAAGTGCCCCATTCAGGAGCTGCTGCAGCTGCCCTCATGGTAAAGCGGTGCTTTGGAGTCCCCTTCGGGTTGCTTCCCAAATGGCGAGCAAAGAGCCTTGCAATGGAGCAGAGCTGGGTGGAAACTGGTCTGTGGTGTTGGGGGTGCATCAGGCAGCGTGGTGTGGTGGTTAGAGCAAGGTCAGCCAACGTGACGCTCTTCAGATCTTGCTGGACTACAACTCGCATCATGCTGGCTGGGGTTCATGGGAGTGCAAAAAAGAGAGGGAAAAGACAAACGCCATAGAGGGCACTGTGCTGGCTGCTCCTAGCTTAGAGTGTCACACTAGGTTCTGGGAGACCTGGGTTCAAATGCCCACTCAGCTACTCAGCCCACTCAGGTGCCCCTGAGCCACTGTCTACCTGAACAGGGTTGTTCTGGGAATAAAAGTGGAGAGGGGGAGAACCAGCTATGCCACTTTGAATTCCTTGGGGGAATAGGGGAGATATAAATATAATAATAAGACAAATAAATGAAAGTGTGGAAGAGTATGGAGCTTTGTCCACACTGATAAACTGCAGTTAGAGTTAAATATGAGTAGTTTCAAACAGGCCAGCTTCAAACCATAGTTAAATTAACTACAGTTTCAGGTCTGTACAGCAAGCTGATGCGAAAGCCTCTGAACACTTGACACTGGGGGTGGGGGTGGGGTAGAGTCTGGTGCACAAGAACCAGAGACTCACTGTGGTTTGTTCCTGCGTATTTCTATCATGCTAAACTATGGTTTGATGTGACCATGCTGAACAGGACCTTTGGGTTCAGACCCTTCCTGCAAGTGGAATGAATGAGCAGAGAATGAACCATTTGCTACAGAAGCCGTTTTCCAGGTAGCTTGCGCAAGCAAATCAAGCCTCACGTGGTCCTGAGGGATGCAGAAAGCATCCCAGAAAAACTGGCCAGCCTGGCTTTGTGGGGGGGAATGTTTCTCTGAGCTCTCAGGATAAATCAATCAGTGTAAATAATAAAGTTGTCCTGAGCGAAATGTTAGCGGCTGCATGCATCTCTGAAGGTGGCAGGTCCAGCTACCTCACATGTTATACTCTCTTGAGGGATAGGGAAACTCAGGCCCAGGCGAGAGGTTGGGAGGAAATATGGCCTTTCTGCCTGGCCTTTGGGACTCCCACAATCCACACCCCTCTCCAGCCTTGCTTCACACCTTCCTTGAATGTTCTTGGCTGGTTGGGATCCCTGTTACCCTCTCGCTTGCATGATTGAAGAATAGAGATGTGTCTGAGTGTAAGTTGGTAAAATTTACGTCTGTTATTCCACCCACCTTTGCATGTGGCCCCCAGAAGAGAATGTGGCCCTCTGTGTGAAAAACGACTCTCACCCCAGTGGTATCTCATGGAACTGTCTTTCAGGCTAGGATCCTCACCGCTTGCGTTGACCTGCCCTTCCTCGCACCCTGCGGAAGGTGTCTGCGAAACCAAGTTCCTCTGCGATGGCAGAAGGGCTTCCCAGCCTCCACCCGTCCCTTTGGCGTTCTTACTGCGCTCAAACCCTGCAGTCAGCAAGCTCCTGGCAGTCAGCCGGCACGACCCAGATGGCTGGGCACCTTAGCCCCTTCTCAACATGCCCTGGAGCAGAGGCCCGACTTGGAAAGCACCCATCAGTATAAGCTGATTTACAGGTTTCCGTGGATCAAGTACTGCAGAATCCTTTCAAGGCTGAAGCTGCTGCAGACAGGCCTGACCATCTTGGTTCTCCCGCCGATCTGGGTCCTTTATTGGCAGAACCAAGTTCCTCTGGTGCAGTGCCTTTACTGTACGGGCCTTGCTTGCTTCGCCGCTGCGATGCTCTACGGCATGAGCTTCTTCCTCCGGCGCATCATTGGTATGATGTACCTGAGCGAAGACGGCACCCTGTTGAAAGTGGCTCACTTGACCTTCTGGGGGAGGAGGAGGGACATCTACTGCCCGGTCGCCACCGTGATGACTCTGGGGGACGTCGGCGAAGACCCCAACGAGCTGTTGCTACCGCTCAGGCGGTACGACCGAGATAACGTCCTGTATTTTAGTCTGCGCTATGGGCAGGTCGTGGACAAGGAGGCATTTGCCAAAGTGTTTGAAGGGCTTGGGTGACATTGGGAGCCTTGGGATCATTTCTTGCTAGTTCGTAATATTTTGCGGTCCCCATGCTGGTTTGCTTTGAGTGGCCCTGGTCGGCCTACGGCAACGCTTCCAGCAGTGCAAATGGATGGGAAGCAATTCTGGGTGATTCTCATGCCCCACCGTAGATGCTACTTCTTCAGAATGTTGGGGGAATCGTCTGGATTTATTAACTAAATAAATAAAGCTAATGTTATGTTTTGGAAAGTTGCATGCCCGCTATGCATTCGGATGCTTCTTCAGATATCGTAATTGTCAGAGCTGCCCTAGGTCCCAGCTCACAAAGGACCAACGCCAGATCGTTGTTATATGAAACAGTCTTTATTTAAGCTCAGCTCCGCTTTTACATCCGTGGCGCGCAGCTCTACGTCTCAAACTCTAGACCGCCGAAGCTCCGTCTGAGTCTCCTCCTCCCATACACCAGTTTAAGACTCTAGCCTTGCTCCACCTCTTCCTCCGCTCTTTCCTCCTCTGGGTCCGCCTGTCCGCTGGGGTCTTGCCCATCCTAGACTCTTCTGACGCTGAGTCTCCTGATTCTTCCCCCTCCGTCCGGCGGGCTTTAGGACCTGGTTCCCACTCCGGGTTGTCCGCTGTCCCGCGCGCCTGTACATTTGAACTTGGCGCGCGCGCCCAGTCTGACACTTTCCTCCTGACCGTTACACTGCTCCTGTCGCTACTTTCCCCTCCGGGGATGCTAGCTGGGTCTGACTTCCCCTCCATTCCCTCACTCTCCGACAGGGGCGTGGCCAGCTCTGACTCCCCTTCCCTCCCACTACGTTCTGGTGGGGAAACTGGTCCTGATTTCCAGCTACTACTTTGGGAGTCTCCGCTGGCCCCTTGCTTCTGGTGTGTCCCCCCTGGGACCCCCCTTTCCCTGGCCGTAGGTGCCCCCTTCTGGGAATCTTCTGATTCACTGGAGAGGCTTATGGAATCTCTCGGGTCACTGTCACTCTCTCCTCCGCTACCCTCAGATTCCTCCCCTTCGCTCTCCATTTCCTCTCTCCCCTGTGGCTCAGCTCCTGAGCCCCTGACAGTAATCAATTTTGGGGCGATGTTTCCTGAGATCGAGGAGCAGGTTTTTGTCTGTTTGGATTTTGAATCAGGATGCAGGATTAGGCCCCAATTCAACCAGAGTGAGCTCTGGCCAGTTCTCAACAAAAGCCATCAGCTGTGAATAGTTCTGTGGAGAGCATGAATGTGCATATGTGCCAGACAGAGAGACTCACTCACATCCAACAGAGAGTAGAGGTTGAATTTCTAGTCCCAACTCTTGCATTACTACATATTCACATGAGCCCCATGCCCCGTCGGTCCCTCTGGGCTTTCCTTTCCTTTGCACTTGCCTTGAGTGTTTTTGCCCCAGTCGCATGCTTCCTTGAACTCTGATCATGCCACTTCGTTAGGTAAAGGTAAAGGGATCCCTGACCATTAGGTGCAGTTGTGACTGGCTCTGGGGTTGCGGCGCTCATCTCACTTTATTGTCCAAGGGAGCCGGTGTACAGCTTCCGGGTCATGTGGCCTGCATGACTAAGCCGCTTCTGGCGAACCAGAGCAGCGCACGCAAACGCCGTTTACCTTCCTGCCGGAGCGGTACCTATTTATCTACTTGCACTTTGTTGTGCTTTTGAACTGCTAGCTTGGCAGGAGCAGGGACCGAGCAACAGGAGCTCACCCCATCGCGGGGATTCGAACCGCCGACCTTCTGATTGGCAAGCCCAAGAGGCTCAGTGGTTTAGACCACAGCGCCACCTACTCGTTAAGATAGATGTGTATTAAAAAACCCTACCCTATGAGGTTAACCTTTACATTCATTGGTCTGCCCACTTAAGAACATAAGAGGAGTTCTGCTGGATGAAGGCAATGGCCAGTTTTTCAGCATCCTCTGCTCACTGTGGCCAATCGGATGCCCCATGGGAAGCCTGCAAGCAGGACCCCAGCCCAGGAGCCCTCTCCCTTCCTGCGGTTTCCAGCAACGGGCATTCAGAAGCATTACTGCCTCTGACTGTGCAGGTACATAAAAGCCTCCATGGCAAGTAGCTATGGATAGCCTTCTCCCCGTGAATTTGTCCAACAAAGCCACCACTGCCTCCTGTGGCGGTGAGTTCCACAGTTTAACTATGAGCTGCATGAAGAACTTCCTTTTATGCTGAACCTTCCAACCTTCATTGAACGTCCACA